ATGTTAAAATGCTCCACTATGATTATGAATTGACCTATTTCTTTTTGTCAGTTTTTCACTTACATATGTTGAGACCTTGTTATTAGATATATAAAAATGCAAAATTGTTATATCTTCCTTTATTATTATGAGGTGGCCCTCTTTGTCTCTGGCTGTACTTTTTGCCTTATGATCTGTTTTGTCTGATAATAATGTAACTATAAACTATAGGTTTTCTTTGGTTAGCATTTGGATAGTATATATTTTAACCAGAACATCTAATTCATTTTCATTTAATGCGTGACTGATGGAGTTATGTTTCAATCTACTATCTTCTGTGCTAATGGTTCCACTTACTTTATATTCCCTTCTCTCTCCTTCTTGCCATCTTATATGTCAAGTATTTTAATCATTCAGTCACATCCCCTCTATCAGTTAGGACTATATATATACACTGTTTCTATTCTTTTGGTGATTATCCTAGGTAGTACAATACTCATTTTTACTTATCAATATTCACTTATAAGTTAACCAAATGCCTTTATCCTCTTCCTGGAAAATACAGTGAGCTTGGAACACTTTAATACTCTCCCAATTTATAGGATATTATCATGAATTTTTAATTCTACAGATTTTTTTTTTTTACACAATTCCACAGTTTTATTTATATTATTTCTTTATATGGTCAGTGTTCGTTTAGATTTATTCTCATACCTTCTGCTTTAATCTGTTCTGGCTGCTATAACAAAAATGCCATAGACTGGGTGGTTTAAACAACATTTATTTCTCACAGTTCTGGAGTGGGAAGTCCAAGCTCAAGGGGCTGGCAGATTTAGTGTCTGGTGAAGAACCACTTCCTGGTTAATAGACAGCCATCTTCTTGCTGTGCCCTCACACATCAGAAGGAAAGAGGGAGCTCTCTGGGCTCTCTTTTATAATCTCCTCCACGAGGGCTCCAACCTCGTGACCTAATCTCCTCCCACAGGCCCCGCCTCCTAATGCCATCACAGTGGGGGGTCAGGTTTCAACATAAGAAGTTTGGGCAGACACAGACATTCAGTCCATAGCACCTTCTTTGCCCTTTTTTCCTTCTTGCATCTCTGACTTTACATTTCCCTTTGATTTGAATTTCTTTCATGTGGGTCTGCTATTTAGGTATTATTTACTTATTATTTATCTGAATTATCTTTATTTTGCCTTCAGTAATAAAGGATATTTTGTCTGCGTATAAGATTATGTTAGCAGTTATTTTCTTTCAGCACATTAAAGATATGATCCCACTGTTTTCTAGTTCCCATCATTTCTTGTGAGAAATCAACTGTCACTCTACCTGTAGGGCCCTTGATGGTAATGTATATGTTTTCTCCTTTTACAGTTGTCTCCTTGTCATTCATTTTCTGCATTTCTAGCAGTCATTTGTTGTTGCTTTACTTCTTTTTTTTCCAGCTAGGGAATCACTGGGACTGTTGCATATGTGGCCTGGTGTCTCCAATAGGTTCTAGAAATTCTCATCCATTGCCTTTGTAGCTCCTTACCCTCTGGTACTCCAAACCATCATTTATTTGATCATCCTACCGCTTCACGTAAGTCTTATTTTTCTTCTCTGCTCTCCATCTTTCTGTCTCTGTTCTAAATTCCAGATAGTTTCTTCTGACCTATCTTCTAGTTCTAGTTCACTTGTTCTTTCTTCAGTTGCTTCAAATCCGCTCTTAAATCCATCTACTTAGTTTTTAATTTGTTATTTACTTAGTTTAAATACTAGAATTTCTATTTAGTTCTTTAAAATGGCTTTTTAAAAGGTAATTTCCACCCTGATGATTTTTTTATCTCAGCCCTTTTTAAAACAGTATTTATTTATTTAAAGTAATCTCTGCACCCAACGTGGGGCTCGAATTCATGACCCTGAGATCAGGAGTCACATGCTCTACTGACTGATCCAGCTAGGTGGCCCCCCAGCCCTTTTTTAAATCAATTTTTTGTATTATGGATAATACACATAATATAAAATTTACCATCTTAACCACTTTTAAGTGTACAGTTCAGTGGTATTAAGGACATTCATATTGTGCAGTCATCACCACCTTCCACCTCCAGACTCTTTTTGTCTGTAAATGTGAAATTCTGTCCCCATCAGAGGCTCCCACATTCCCCCTCTCCCCCCACCCCTGGCCACCTCCATTCTACTTTCTTTGAATTTGACTACTCTAGATCCCTCATATAAGTGAAATCATAGCATTTGTCTTTTTGTGACTGGCTTTCACTAAGCGTAATGTCCTCAAGGTTCATCCATCTTGTAGCACATGTCAGAATTTCCTTCCTTTTTAAGGCTGAATCATATTCCATTGTATAGACAGACCACATTTGCTTACTCATTCATGCACTGGTGGAACTTGGGTTGCTTCCACCTTTAGGCTGTCATGGATAATGCTGCTATGAATATGGGTGTACAAATATCTTCTGGAGGTCCTGCTTTCAATTATTTGGGGTATTGTGGATGAATTGTGTGCCACCCAAAATTTATCTGTTGAATTCCTACACCCGCAATGTGATTGTATTTGGAGATAGAGCTTTTATGGAGGTAATTAAAGTTATATGAGGTTGTATGAGTGGGGTCCTAATCTGATGATAAGAGGGAGAAACACCAGAGAGCTCTCTCCCTCCTCATGTGCACACAGAGGAAAAGCCATGTGGTGAGACAGCATGGAGGAAGCCATCTACAAGCCAGGAAGAGAGGCCTCACTAGAAACCAACTCTGATGGCCCCTTCACCTTGCATGTCTAGCTCCAGAACTACAAGAAAACAAATTTCTGTTGTTTAAGCCACTCAGTCTGATATTTTGTTATGGCAGCCCTAGCAGACTAATACAGAAATAGAATTTCTGGATCATATGGTAATTCTATTTGCAATTTTTTGAGAAACTACCAACTGTTCTCCACAGTGACTGTGCCATTTTACATTTCCACCAGCAGGGCACAAGGGTTCCAGTTTTTCCATATCCTTGCCCACACTTGATCTTTTCTATTTTTTTGATAGTAGCCATCCTGATGGGTGTGAGGTGGTAGCTCATCATGGCTTGGGTTTGAACACCTTTTCTTGGGCTTATTGGCCATTTGTATATCTTCTTTGGAGAAATGTTTATTGAAGTCTTTTGCCCATTTTTTAACCAGGTTGTTTTTGTTGTTGTTGAGTCGTAGGAGTTCTCTGTATCTTTAGGATATTAATCCCTTATTAGATATATGGTTTGCAAATATTTTCTCCCATTCTGTGGGTTGCCTTTTTACTCTGCTGATAGTGTCTTTTGATGCAAAAAGTATTTTTAATTTTGATGAACTCCAGTTTGTCTTTTTTTTTTCTGTTGTCTGTGCCTTTGGTGTCATATCCAAGAAATCATTGCCAAAGCCAATGTCATGAAGCTTTTATCCTATGTTTTCATGTTTAGGTCTTCAATCCATTTTGAGTTAATTTTTGTATATGGTGTTAGGTGGGAATCCAACTTCATTCTTCTGCATGTGGGTACCCATTTTTCCCAGCACCATGTGTTGGAAAACCTGTCCTACCTCGATTGCTCTAGGCACCCTTGATGACAGTCATTTGACCCTATATGTGATGGTCTGTTTCTGGGCATCCTATTCTATTCCATTGTCTATCTTTCTATCTTTATGCCAGTGCCACACTGCTTTGACTGCTATAGCTTTGCAGTGAGTTTTGAAAGCAGGAAGTCTAAGTTCTCCCACTTTGTTCTTCTTTTCCAAGATTGTTTTGGCTGTTCTCTTGACAAAATTTAAAGTTTGCATTTTCTTGGAGCACAGTAAACTTAGCTATTTTATAGTCTTTGATAATTCTGATGTCTGAAGTTTCTCTCATTTCTGCTTATTCTTCTTAGTGGTATCTTTCTTCCTTGGGTGCCCAATTATCTTTGACTGTGTCCTGTGTTTTGTATTGGAAAAATTATTTATATGAACAGCTTGAGGCCTAAGAAGATGCCATCTTCTGCCAGAGAGGGTTTTCTTTGCTTCTGCCTGGAACCATGGAATGCTACCCATCGGGAGCCACCTTAAACCAAGTCCAGGTTTGAGGGGCCCTGCATTGCTCAGGTGAGGGGACAGCAGAGTGTGAGGCTGCACAAGGACTGTGTACTTCGAGTTCACCCCGCTTAATGTGGGGGCTTATCCCCACCACTGAGTGAGCTCTGAGCTTCGACGTTTCTCTCCCTTTCCCTCGACAAGGCTACTAAAACAGCAGATCTCCTTTGCAGCTGTTGCTTGTGAATTTGCAGATGCACTCACAGGGAAAGGAGCTTTGAGTGCCAGGCTCACCTCCGTCCTTCCCTGTCCTCAATTTGGAATCGAAACACTGAAACTCCCTCACTTGCTTGTTTGCTCTTTTGTGTCTTTCCGAAGAGAGGTGTGCTTATCTGTCTTTTGTATTGGTCTGGATTACAGAGCCGGCTCTCACCTAAAGGGGAAGTCCAGAGGGTCTTTTCTAAAAGCACAGTTCTGACCACAATCTTACCAGGAGCTAATCATGGCAGTCTGGAGCCCAGCTCTGTGACCATTAATTCATTCAAGGCTGTCCAGCATCCTGGAGGCAAGAACTAGTGTTATCCCCAACTCATGGGTAAAAATCCAGAGCACAGAGAAGCAAGGCTAACCTGCCTCATGGTTGCACAGCTAACTGAGTGGCAGGATCAGCCTTGGAGCCAGTTGTGTCTTACTACAGAGATGTTGCTCCCCCTCTTCTGCTCAGGAGCCTTCTGGGGCTCCCCACTGTCTGGCGTCCTGAGCACAGACCACCCCCCAACCCAGCCATCAAGGCCCTTCCAGGCTCCCCTGGCCACACTGGCTCCTGCCCATCCCCAGCTCTGCTCCCCAGCACTACCTGCCCACCCTTCCTCACGTGCCTCCGACTCACCTGCCACACCTGGCTCGGAGGCTGGCACTCTGCTGTGCCCTCCCAAGGTCCCTGATTAAAGTGGGACCCAGGGCCCTGGGCACCCCATTTGCCCAAAGCCAGGGCCCACAATGGGAGCTCCCCGACCCCACAGCAGCAACCCAGATCTGGGCATTCTGCAGGGCATCGGGTACAGCAAACAGGTCAGAGCCTGTCCCTGAGCACACAGCCTGTCTGCAAGGGGATGGAGCAGGCCAAGGGGTCCTGTATTAGGGACCAGGAACTGTCATGCCATCCTGGGGACGCCTTGCTCAAGGCCAGCTCACCCTTGGAGGGTGCCTGGTGGGTGAGGCAGGGGAGGCCTCCAGGCCCACCTGCCGCCCCTAGGTGCCCATTGGTCCTCTCTCTTTCTGACAGGTGAACAATAATGGGATCATCTCCTTCCTGAAAGAGGTCTCTCAGTTCACCCCAGTGGCCTTCCCCATCGCCAAGGACCGCTGCGTGGTGGCAGCCTTCTGGGCAGATGTGGACAATCGACGGGCAGGTGATGTGTACTACCGGGAGGCCGCTGACCCAGCAACGCTGCGCAGAGCCACAGAGGATGTCAGGCGCTACTTCCCCGAGCTCCCGGACTTCTCCGCCACCTGGGTTTTCATAGCTACCTGGTACCGCGTGACCTTCTTTGGAGGCAGCTCCTCTTCCCCTGTGAGTTTTTTGTCCTGGGGAAGGGAGGACATCCATCTGGGGTCCAGGGTCTCCCCCCAGGGGCCCCACCTTGCTGAGAGGGGTCAGACATAATCACTGGTCCATGCCTGAGACGGGAAAACCCGGCTCAGGGAGGGAAGTCACTCTCCCAGGGTCACAGAGCCAGGTTGGAGGAGGACAGAGCCTTGACCTTCCCCAGCCCTCCCAGAAACCATCTGCCTCTAGGAAAATGCCAAATGCCCTGATACAGTGTTTCGCACGCTGGTGGAACTTGGGTTGTGTCAGAATTCCCATCTGGAATGGTTCAATTCTCAATAGGCTAAGTGGGAACTTTATTCTGTTTTATCCTTTATTCTGTGATAATGCCAAATAACAAAGGCATCAGGGATGTGTCTCTCCCGTGGGGCACACTCTCCATGCCAAGCGCCGAGAAGTGCTCAGCACAGCACAACCAGGGGGCAGGAGCTCGCCCTGAGACTGCTATGCAAGCCACATGGGGCTCCGGAGCTGGGGGAATGGGACGGTTCAGAGCAGCCCTGAGGGACAGATGTGTCGGGACACTGGGCTGCAGGGGAGAGGCAGAGCGGTCAAGGGCAGGGCCTGCTTTCCCATCATGCACACGGCTGGACAGAGGGTGGGGACAGGTACTCAGGGTGGCGGGGTGCAAGCGCCCAGCGGGCATCTGGAGGTGCAGCTGGGGCCCCCAGCAGTGGTGGGAGTGGGAGAGAAGGCTGGTGGACAGGGACGTGCGAGTCCCGCCAAACCCTGAGTTCTCCAGCAGCCAAGATGACAAAGAGAATGCCAGCAAGCACGTCAGCCAGGGACGCTGAGGGACCGAGATGTTCACTGCTGGATTTCTTAAAAGGAGTATGACAGTGAATAGGCAAAGATGGGCTTCTTCTGTAAACATCACTACAAATAAATGTTTACCCTGGGTGAACTTTATTCATGCACAGTCCACTAATATTTTGTCAGTTTTACTTGTTTTTCTTATCATCAATTTGTAAGAAAAACATCTTTGTAACAAAAAGAGAAAAAAGAATCAGTAAGTCCACTAGCAAGAGATCGCTCCCATCAAACATCTATTGTATCCTGACACACACTTTAACAAATAAATAGAGCCAGCTAGAATGCTTTGTTTTGTGGTTTTGTTTTTTTTTTCACTCAGTGGTAGTAGGGCATTTTCCTCACTCTTCTATGTGGAAATCCCTGTCACCTCTGCAGCCACTCTGGGTATTTCCTTCCCGTGGGAGCAGGGGGAGCAGAGCCCCTCCTACGCGGACAGAGGAAACCTAACTCCTCCAGTCCTCGGACCTGGAGGTGGGGGCTACAGAATGATTACCCAGGCAACACAAGCATCCCTGGGAGGGATCAGAGTTCTGGGTTGGGGCTGGAAGCTGGTCTGTAACCTGGGAGCCTCCCGGAGCCGGCTGCTTGGCCGGGAGCAAGCGTGAAGCTCCACGCGGGGCCTGGGTCTCCCCGCACGCTGGACCTCGCCAGCTCGCAAAGCCCCACCACTGGCCCCCCGGGCCGCAGTCTGGGCCCCCCTCAGCTCCCCGCCACTCGGCCTTCATGGCCACTGCGTCCTGGTTGTCTTCAGAGTGGTAGCAGCAGGTCTGCCTTCCCCAAGGGGAGCACTCAGTCTCCCCGCTGTTCGTGGGTATGTAAGGGAGAGGACAGACCCAGTGCTGTACCACTGTGTACACTGCAGACCAGCCCAGCACCCGGTGGCACCCATGGCAAGGTGCCGCGTGGTGGGCACTGCCAGGCCCCGCTAGCTTGGGGGCCATTGCCCGGCACGAGCCTCCAGTGAGGAGGTTGCTGCCCGCAGAGTCCTGACTTGCCCCTCAAGCCTGTACCCCCAGAGGCGCGAATAAGCCAGGTGCGGAAGCCCGGGTCTCCCCGCGCCCAGCCGGGGGGCCCAGCGCGCTGCGCCCTTGCCCACCACTCCAGCACACAAGGAAGGCCTTTCTCTAGAACGCTCCACCTCTCTCGTGCTGCGGGATTTGTCCTGTGTTATCAACTAGTTGTCGTCTGTGGTGATGCGTCTGTTCACATAACCTTTGCCAATTTTCTGTCCTCTTCGTCTTTTTCTTTTCCTTTTTTTTTTTTTAAAGATTTTATTTATTTATTCATGAGAGACAGAGAGAGAGAGCTTCTTCGTCTTTTTCTTACTGACCCATAAAAGTTCTGCTTGAATTAAGGATTTTCAATAGTTTCACCGGCCACCTATGTTATAAATACATTTTTCACTTTGCTGTTTGCCATTCCGTTTGCTCTTATGGCACTTTGTTATATGCAGAAGCTTTTGTAGTCAAATATATAAATCTCCTTTTTGGTTTTTGCAGTTAACAAATGTTACACTTAAAGTCCTTCCTCAACGTGGCTCCATGTATTCGCCTATATTTTCCTCTAGGGCTTTGATCGTTCCATTCACAACCTTACTTGATGTGGGATTTATTTTCGTGAGTGATATAAAGCTCTAATTTTATTCTTTTTCAGACAGTTTCCTATTTGTCCCAAGACCACTTCTTAAACAACCCCACCCTTTCCCCAATCTGAAATAACATCCCATATATATACTACTCAATAACTTCATGGAGGAGATTCCATGAAAAAAATCATTAAAACTGCTTCTCCTTGTTTCCTCTTTTTATCTTTTCCTCTTCACGTTTTTTTCACATGAGGCAATTTTGTGGATTTGACCTGGTAAGCACTAACCCTTGTGCCCCAGTCGCCACAGGGCGCAGTGTCTGCTCCTGGTGTCCGTGGGCCCTGCTGACCCCTCGGCGTGTCTCCCTCCCCAGGTGACAGTTGTTAGGGGTCCTGACCTCAGGCCTCAGGCACTAGGGACACAGTGGAGGATGAGGACGAGACCATCAGCTCGATGGCAGATGGCTGACCAGCGAGCTGGGAAGATGGAGGAGGGGCCGGTGGATGAGGACAGTGTGCGAAGGCACGCTGGAGGGCCTAGGGCCTTGCAGCATGGACAAGGGAGCATAGAAAACCCTGTTCAGGACTCCCTCCTCGGCAGGTCAACACGTTCCAGACCGTGCTTATCACTGACGGCAAGTTCTCCTTCACCATCTTCAACTATGAGTCCATCACATGGACGACGGGCACACACGCCAGCAGCGGGGGCAACACCACGGGCCTGGGGGGCATCGCAGCCCAGGTAGGGGCCCGGCTCCCCACCGCCACGACTGTCATGAGCTGATGAGGCAGGCAGACCCCTACACACACCCAGTACTGTGCAGAGGCCCGTGTGAGGCCTTCTGATGCCAAGCCCAGTCCAGATTCACAGGAACATCCTCAGGTCAAAGGCACTTTTGTCCCGATCCACACTGCCCTGGCCTCCGAGGGCCAGCTGCAGCCGAGGCAGAAGGGGCGCTGGTTCTGTGTGCGCTCGCTGTCCTGGGGCCTGGCCTGGCCCGTGGCCCGCAGAACTGTGGCCAGCAGGAAGTCACAAGTGTGGAGGGAGTGGTCAAGTGCCAGTCCCCAGGCCAGCGAGTGCTCCCTCATGATGGGAAGGGCCTCACCTCCTTCCTAGCCATCTACTTTCTTCTGAGGTCACACCTGCCCCTGGTCCCCACAGGAGCCAAGAGGCTAGGGAGGGAGCCCTGCAGGTGTGTGTGAGGGGAGCATGCCAGGGCCCAACAGTGTCGGTGGCCAGGGTCAGCACCCGGCTGGGAGGTTGCTGATCAGGACAGGCACAACGTGGAGGGTGGTATGGGTACCCCCAAACCCATAAAGCTCCAAGATTGTAAGGCCGCCTTCCACATGATCTCTTTGACCATGGCCACCATGGGGGCGGGAGGTCTCAGGAAACTGAGGGAGACCTGCTGACAAACCCACGCCTGTCCCCCACTCTCCATACCCACCTCCCCAGGCCGGCTTCAATGCGGGTGATGGGCGGCGCTACTTCAGCATCCCCGGCTCCCGCACAGCGGACATGGCGGAGGTGGAAACCACCACCAACGTGGGTGTGCCCGGGCGCTGGGCGTTCAGAATCGATGATGCCCAGGTGCGCGTGGGGGGCTGCAGCCATACAAGTAAGAGGATGGAGCCAGCGGCTCAGGGCTGTGGGGGTTGGGGTGGCTCAGGGAGTGGGGGGATGACAGGAGGGAGCCAGACCCTGGGGGCGGGGGGGAGGGGGCTGGACGCTGATGGGGGTGAAGGGGGTGCTGGAGGAGGGGGCGGGACGCTGGGGACGGGGCAGGCTGCTGGCCAGGAGGGCACGACCTCCCCCACCACTCTCCCCTAGCAAGTATCAGCTCACCCCTTGAGCCCTGTCTCTTCCTGGGGAGGCCTTCCTACCTCAGCTCCAAGGCCGGGGAATCTGTTTGAGACCAAGGTTTGTGGTGCAAAGTGGAGGAGCTGGGGTCGCCCCTCCTTGGGGCCAGGAGTCGATGTTCTCCCCTCATTCTCTCCCAGGCTGCGTCCTGGGCCGGGGAGGGGCACCACCCCGGTCTCCTGTGTCCCCGGGATCACCTGGAAGGCAGACGCTCCTGTCACCCAGTTCCCCACATTTTCCATGGGCTTGCTGCTTCCTGGGTTTTGGCACATACACACCCGGGCATCTACTTGACTGCAGGGACTTGAACACTCAGAACATGCAGCAGATGGGGGGAGGGTTCACCCCAGGGCAGAAGGATGCATCCTGGCCCCTTCCCTTGTATGGCCCTGGAGGAGGCGCATACCCTCCTGAAACATCATGCTTATAAATGGAGAGGAGGTGATAGATTTAGCCACTTGGTGGAGAGCTAACCACAGGCCTTGCAAAGGCCACAGTGAGGCCGGTGTCGGGAGGGTCCTAGCAGACTCACCTCCCACCCACAAGGAGGCTGAGGCCACTGAGAGGGCCTCTTCACCTCCGGGAACACCAACTCTTTGACAGCGAACCCAGCGCAGGTGGAGCCCACCCAGACCAGCACTTTTCAGGGGCCAGGGCCTGGGAGGACAGGCATGCCCCCATGGGCCGGAAGGCTCACCAAGCACTGGGGATGATGCCCCAGTGAGAGACGCATGGGGACCGGCTCACTGGAGCACTGGAGCCTGAGTCTGAGCTTAGGGGATGGGGGAACTCACAGGCCAGGGAGCCCAGGAGCCAACATGTTGCCCCTCCCCCAAAGTGGCAGGCGGGACACCCAGGAATGCAAGGTCTCCTGCAGCCCCAGGCCAGGCCGCCTACTCTGCCCACCTGGGCTCTGGGTAGTGGTGGTCCAGGGGATGGGGACCTCATTCTGTCTCTGATGGCAGAAAGGTCTGGTTGCTTGTCATCTCCCGGTAGCCAGGGGCTTGGGCTGTGGTTCAAGATGTGGGCTGCCATGAGCAGGCGTCAGTGAGGTGTGGATGCAAGCCTGAGCAGGTGGGTGACAGGTGCAGGTACCAGTGGGGACTGGTGTGAGCAGGTGCAGCTGTGGGTACAGGTGTGGGTCTAGGCATGGCAGGCCCATGCCCTCTACGAAGGCTGCAGGCTGTGAGACCCTGAGAAATGAGATCCTCCGAGGAGGGTCTGGCCAGTCCCCCAGCGATCCCTTTCACATGCAGACGTGCTCCTCCTGCTATCGCAGGCTTCTGGGGGAAGTAGATGGAGGAGGCATTGCTGGGCCTTCTGAACTAGTGAGCACAGAAGCCCACAGGAGCTCCCTTGCTTCCCCACGGCCACACTGCAAGCCCAGGAGATGGAGCCGACACACAGGCTTTGCTGGGAAGGGAGGGCCAGGTCCCTCCTGAGAGGCAGTGCATCCACATCTGGAAGTCTAGCTCCTGAGAAAGGCAGGTCCCGAAACAGGGTTCATGCAGACAGCCAGCGCACTCCACAGGGTAGCCAAACCACGACCGGCTGAGCGACAGTGTGGCTAAGTGAGTGGAAAGGTATGCACGAGGAGCAGGAACAGTCCAAAAGATGCCCTTAGCCCTGATGGTGTTCTGGGCCACAGGGTCCTTCCAGGAATGTCCCCCCCTTGCTCCCCTTGATGCCACTCTAGATCTCCCGGGGCCCCCTAGTAACAGGAGATCAGAGACGGTGGGGTGCTCTTGTTCCCTGCCAATTTGTGCTCCTTTATTGCAGATGTCAGCAGCCTTACTTCTCCAGAGGGGTAGGGCCTCCTGAGCTGGTGGGCGGCCAGTCCTAGAGGGCTCAGGCATGGGGTTAGGTGGTCCCTGGGGACTGCTGGGGGCTCTCCCTGGCCAGGAGGTCGTGATGTGAGAAGCCCTGCCTTCCAGAGCTCTGTGGGAGGCCCTCTTGTTTTCCACGGGGAGATCTGGAGGGGCAGCTGGGCCTGGGTTTCTGCAACTATTGTTGGCAGCGCTGAGATCAGATTGCATCCCCCCCTAGGAGGGTCTGAGGGCGCCCCCGCCCACCACCTCTGGTTCCCATGGGGGTCCCCCTCTTCCACATTGTTTTTCCAATGAAGCACACTCACGTCTTCCTGTGTTGCTGGGCACCCTTGGGTCTGTGTCTTCTTAGTTCCTCAGACAAATCTGGAAGGTGACGGATTAAAGGGATAAGAGGGTGCTGTGGGTGGGGGGGCGCCTGGGTGGCTCAGTCCGTGAAGTGTCTGATCCTTTGGCTCAGATCATGATCCCGGGGTCCTGGGATGGAGCCCCGCATCGGGCTCCCTGCTCAGCGGGGAGTCTGCTTCTCCCTCTCCCTCTGCCGCTCCCCCTGCTCGTGCTCTGTCTCTCTAACAAATAAATAAATAAAATCTTAAAAAAAGAAAAGGTGCCGTGGGTATGATGGGTGCGGGGGAAGCCAGAGTCCCGGCCCAGGAACCCGAATGTCAGCGGGACGCGCAAGCGCACTAGGCACCGGGGGGAGACCCGGGAAGCTAGCCGCGGATGCTGGGCTGTCAGCAGACCGCACAGCCACTCCTCAGAGATGGGCCCTTGGGGCAGGGGAGGGAAGGGACGCTCGCTCCTTGCTGTGTCCACAGCCTCCGTGTGCCTGGCCCTGCGCCCGTGTCTCAACGGCGGCAAGTGCATCGATGACTGCGTCACGGGCAACCCCTCCTACACCTGCTCCTGCCTCTCAGGCTTCACAGGGAGGAGGTGTCACCTGGGTGAGTCTACACCCACCAGCACAGCCGGTGGCCCCGGGGCCCAAGGTCAAGGGTCTCCGTCCCCACGGTGCGGGCGCTGTTGGGGGTGGGGGACAACGCTGTGGCTCCCTGGAGGTGAGCACGGTGGGCGGGGCTACCGCTGCCCCTTCGGAGCTGAGCGCCCTGCAAGTGAGGCCAGAAGGGGTCCAGGCAGATCCTCCCCAACCCGGCTTCCTCCACTGAGGCCCCAGCCTGCCCTGCTTTTCAGATGTGAACGAATGTGCTTCCCATCCGTGTCAGAACGGGGGGACCTGCACACATGGCGTCAACAGCTTCCGCTGCAGGTGCCCGGCCGGCTTCAGGGGGCCCACCTGTGAGACAGGTAAGAGGAGTGTGCCTGGGCCCTGTGGCCCCACTGGTGGCAGGATGATCAGGACGGTCCCCCCACAGCCTGACGCCCTCCAGAATGGGGTGCAGCAGGAGCCCCAGGGGCCCGGCGGGAGGGCCGACGCCTTCCACCCCTCTGCCCTTGCAGCACTGTCTCCATGTGACACCAGGGAGTGCCAGAACGGCGGCCGGTGCCAGGAAGAGCGGGGCTCGGCCGTGTGCCTGTGCCTGGCCGGCTACACGGGCGCGGCCTGCGAGACGGGTGAGCGGCTGGCCCCGGGGGGCAGGGGAGAGGCTCCCGCCCGGCCGCACCCATACCGGGTGCCGGGAGTCAAAGGCTGGCTCGAGCCAAGCTCCCGCCTCCGCTGCCCCCAGATGTGGACGAATGTGCCTCCAGCCCGTGCCTCAACGGGGGCTCGTGCGTCGACCTCGTGGGGAACTTCACCTGCCTGTGCGCGGAGCCCTTCGAGGGACCTCGCTGCGAGACTGGTAAGCCCGCGCCCGAAGCCCCCAGTGACAGCGGTCCCGTGTGGCCACCCGGCTCCTTTCCCTCACTGTCCAGCTCAGCCCCACTTCTGGCCCGGGGAGTCATCTCCCCGGCCCTGCCTGAGCCGGCCTGTCCCCTGGGCTGCCATACTGGTCGTGACTCTGCCACCACATGCAGTGCAGGGCTGAGCATGCCTCCTGTCCCCTCCAGTCCCCAGTCTCCTCCTGTCCCTTCCAGTCCCCTCCTGTCCCCTCCAGTCCCCTCCTGTCCCTTCCAGTCCCCTCCTGTCCCCTCCTGTCCTTTCCAGTCCCCTCCTGTCCCCTCCTGTCTCCTCCCATCCCTTCCAGTCCCCTCCCATCCCCTCCATCCCCTCCTGTCCCCTCCAGTCCCCTCCTGTCCTTTCCAGTCCCCTCCAGTCCCCTCCAGTCCCCTCCTGTCCCCTCCAGTCCCCTCCTGTCCCTTCCAGTCCCCTCCTGTCCCCTCCTGTCCCCTCCAGTCCCCTCCTGTCTTCTCCTGTCCCCTCCTGTCCCCTCCAGTCCCGTCACCATCTATGAAATGCAGGGCAAAATGGCCACCCTCTCACGGCCCCTCTTCCTGCTCAGGAGATTCTTGGCTTTTTAACATCCTTCTTTCGTACTCCAGACCCCTCACCATGCAAGGGAACAAGCCACGGGGGTTGGCAAGAAAACTGACCTTTATCACATGTGATGAAATCTGCTAGTTTCTACTTCATGTTGTTTTAAATGCTGGTTATGACTTGGTAGATCAGTTAAAAAACCAACTCGATTTTACAACCCACAGAATAAATTCAGGTTGTTAGCATCTGACATGGCACTGACCACCAAAGGCCTCGCCCGGCCCCTGTGCCAGTGATAGCGAAGTCCACAGCATGGGCAGCTGCTCCCCTGGGAGATGCACAAGACAAGCTTGTCAGATTTAGTTTGAGTCTAAAAATTTAAGAAGGAAATTAAATTTTACCCATAAGTAGGATATAGATGGATGCTATGCCCTCCATCAGTCTTTGTTCAGAGGGCCACACATAGGACAGGCCGTGTCCTGAGGAGAGAGTGAGGCTCTGCCATGCAGAGGGGAGGAAGGGAGGGGCAACCTTACCTGTTTGGTTGCTTAAAATCACTGTAATGGGTCACAGTTCACCTTGCCCAGATTGTTATCTAAATATCTGTGTATTTAACTAAATTCATGTTAGGAAACAGATCAGTGATTTCAAAGATTTTGCAGAGAAACCACCTTTTTGTACAGGAAGAATAATGCAAATGAAAGCAACCAATAAGAAACAACAGAACTGACACTTCCACCCCTAGGAAAACCTTATTAGTCACATTACAAGGTACCAATCTGGACATTCTAACCAGATTCAACAGAAGTTGGCCAAAAATTAAAGATAATTTTTAAAAAATGTACCCATTCTGATGCTTCTGGCCAAGAAAGATTGACTGTTCTGGGAATTTCCCTCACCATCAAAACTAGAAAACTAGACAAAATACATGAAACAACTGTTTTCAGCCATTGGACAACAGGCATCACAGGGTTGTTACCCCTGGGAGGAGGGACTGAAGTGAAGAGCACGCTACAATTGCCCCCAAGTCTGCCTACAGGAAGTTTCCAGGCCATTGTGTAGCAAGGGGATCCAGACTCTAGCAGTTCCTCTGAGTCTCTGGGTCACAGAGACAGAGATTCTAGTTTGGTAGCTGCAATTTGTGGGGAGAACTCCTTTCTGGAATTCTACTAAGAGGGGCTGGGGATAGTGCAAGAAGAATCTCCGAAGACATGCAGAGGGACCCCTTGCCTCTTTGCTCAGCACAGTTGGGGTGAAATCCATGAGGTTGGGCAAAGAACCACTGGGAGCACTGAATCATACAATCCCCAGAACTCGAACAAGACTGGGAATAAGTCACTTCTCTATAGCCAGAGTGCATGCAGAGCTCCTCACACCCAGGGCCAAGACTGGGTAGAGTCCTCACTGGGGTATCAGCTTGATGGTATGGATAAATAAACACTAGAACAAAGGCTAATCTGATCTGTCCTAGCAAATGTTAAAGGGAAGTTTGAGAGGATCAAAACAATCCCAAGTAATTTAACCATATGCCAGAATCAAATCCTATACTCTTTGAAGGAATATAACAGAATCCAGGAAAAAAACAAAAATTATCAGGCATACTAAGAATCAGGAATATATGACCCACAGCCAGGAGAAAAACAGATCAATAGAAACAGATGACAGAGATGATTAAATTAGCAGATATGCATGTTTAATCATCTACTGTGAATATGCTCCATGTGCTCAAGACCATTGAGGAAAAAAGAAGAAGATATAAGAGAAGAAACTTCCAGAAATAAAAAACATAAAATCTCAATTTAAAAAATACACTGGTGGGGCGCCTGGGTGGCTCAGTCTTTAAGCGTCTGCCTTCAGCTCAGGTCATGATCCCAGGGTCCTGGGATCAAGCCCTGCATCAGGCTCCCTGCTCGGCGGGAAGCCTGCTTCTCCC